TTTTTTTTAATGTATCTCTTCAAAATCTTGGTGCGTCTTATACTCCGGTGTGCCTTATAGTCCGAAAAATATGGGACCTAGCTCTACAGAAGACTGCTAGTACATCCTCTTCCACAGAAAAGTATTCATCATCTCCTAGATCAGAGGTGTCAAACTGGTGACCCATGGGCCGGATGCATCATATACAGGCCATGCCCACCCCAGCTCTGCGAAGGATAAGAATGTCATGAAAAATCATGTGACGGCAACGTGACGCTTCGAGTTTGACACCCATATCCTAGATTCTAGCAGTTACCTGTCTACCTGCTCCCCACAAGAGCCAGAATGTACAGTGGTACAGTACAAGTAGCAGGGAACACCTAACCCCATGACCTTCTCAGGCCAAAAGAAGTCCTAGATAATACAGGTAGTCTTCAGCATATATAGTAACTAATAGCTTTGCAATTGTTTGTAGTTACAATAGAGCCTCCCCACAAAAAAGTACTCATGATCTGGTTCCAAAGTTCCAACAGCCAGCCCCCTTCCAGAGTCACATAACTGCTGAGCATCCAGCCTGTATTTATGGCCTTTTGCCATGTCCTGCAGTTATGCGATTGCAATTTATGTTGGTTTTGCTGAAAACTGGCATTTGCTTCTGGTTTTCAGCAAAAACACTCCATAGGAAATAATGGATTTGTTTAATGATTGCATTAAATTTGTTTAACAGCGACTGTTGCAAGAAAAGATTGTAAAATGGAATTATGAATTCACGACACCTTCCTACTATTGGATAAGCTGCTTCGCTACTAATACATATACATTATTATTTCCTAGTACTCTGAACTTGCAAAAATCCATGCATAGGCAGATGCTGGTGTTATTTTCTATCCATTAAAAATAGAATAGTTTCTTCATTCATGAGACACAAGGTCTCATCACAAAGAGAATGCATATAAAAGGTTTAAGAACAAAAAAAAGGAACTAAATCTTAATATATTTTCTTATTACCTTGAAGCAGTTAAAAGTGATGGTACTGATTATTTAGGTGCAGAATCAACAACACCCACCATGATTTAATTTCTCTGATTACCCTCAAGGTCCTTTTGTGCCTATTTGTTTTTCATTTGTGTAGGCCAACAACAGCGTGCAGCACTATGTCTCATATGACACTTAGTGATAGAATGGATTACCTGAAACCACAACTAGATCGAAAATACACCTATGCAGAAATGATCCCTGTGAGTACCATTTGAGTACCAAGAACTGTGGCATTAAGTCTCTTCTCTGTGAAGAGGTGGAATGTTTGGGTTTTTTTAAAATTGTGGATGTCTAAAGGAGAACTATTTTAGGTGATGGAGAACTGAATAGCCATTCTTCTGGGAAAACTCATGAACGTCAAGAGTTTACAGTTTCAAAAGGGCATATGAAAACTAATATGTTCATATATTTGGGGCAGCAACAAATAAAAACAAATGCAAAACTTATAGAAGCTATGCAGGTGCACCTTCTTTTTTCTTGTAGGTTCAAATCTCGTTAAAGAATTAAATATCGAACATGTAGTGTGGAATACACCTACTGTATATCCGAAGAGTACCAATAAAAATGAAACTAGTTATTGATTGATTTTAAACATTTATATATAATAGCCACATCTTATACTAAATTCTGGTCAACTTCCAATCAAGAATTAAAACAATATAAAAAATATGTAGTGCCTCTTATTGGTGTGCAGCTTATATAATAGCTAATTGCAAAATTTCTTGCCTTTTTATGAAAATGGCATAACAATGCTGACATAATATTGCAATGGAGCATATTCGTGTGTATTCATTAATCCTTTCTTTTCTCGATGAATTAATCTTTTCCTGACAGATTTTTTTTCAATTCATCTATGTTTGTGTCCAAAAGCTGAAAAAAATTGCCTTCAAATTGAATATTGCTATCTAAAATTTAGTACCACGTATCTTGTCTGAATCTGTCACCAGACTCAAATCTGGGATGAAAATTTGATTAAAATTTAGCAGGTCAATTAAGAACCAGCAGATATTAGAAATGCACTTAACTATCTATGGTTAGTTAACTGTTGCAGCTAAAACCACAATCAAGATATGTCCACTTGACATACGTCAAGAATGGTTAAAGAACAAGCTATACAAAATGAATCCCACGGCCAATTTTTGTTTTTATTTTTAAATGAGACTCAGCTGCTACAAGTCTCTTTTAACAAAACAGCAAATCTGATAAATTACAGAAACTTCCAGGGTCCCTTCATTATTAATTATTGCAAAGAAGTGAAAAAGATCAACTAACTATAACCAAAGCACTAGTAGAATGTAAAAACTGCTATCACCTACATGGCGTTTTGTAGCCATTGAAAAGGGAAAAACTGTTATTAACAAGAAAATAGGGGGAAAGGAAGTGGGAGGCAGACAAATTTAACACCATATATAAGAAATTGAGGAGGGGGGCTCGGGGGGGGGTTTCAAATATTTTAGCAAGGGGTTCTCTGCCCATTGCTAGGTGGGCATGGCCATGATGGGTGTGGCCTAGGGGGCCTCCTTCACTATGGCAGGAGGACGTTTTTGCCCTCCCTGTGCTCCGGAAGCTTTCCTCAAGCCTCCAGGATGGCAAAAACGGCCTCCTGGGTTCTGGAGGTCCTCTGGAGGCTGGAAACAGCCCCATTTCCAGCCTTCCCAAACTTCTGGTAGGCCCATTTTTCACCCTCCCTGAGTCTCCACTTAGCCGTGTGGGGACTCCTGGGAGGGGCAGGGTGGGGTGGGCGGGGCCAGCCAGGAGTGAGATTTGAGGGTTCTCCAAACTGCACAGAATCTTAGCTAGAGATTCTCCCGAACCCCTGCGAACTCCCAGCAGCCCACCTCGGGGGTGGGGGAGGAGAAATCTATGAAGTTTGTAATAAAAACATCCAAGCAAATTAGATATCTGATTGTGCTTTCTCTCTCTCTCAAATAAAAATAACAGCAGTTACAAAGACAGTTTCATCCAAGACACAATGAAACTGCATTATCTTGATGAATTTTACTCTGTTATTCAGGGTAAAATCTCCCCAGATTTTTCCGAACTTGGAAGTTTTAAAATGGAAAGAATGCTGCAATCTCTTTTCTTGGAAAACAGAGCAGGCTACGTCTTCACTGACTTCTGTGAGAAATCAGACTGTAGGGTAAGAATAATTTCTTATTGGTGGATTTCTTGGTTGGATTTTCCTTGATAACTTGGAGTCTTCCCACACCTTTAAGGAGGAAAAAAGGCTTGTAAAAATCAAAAGAGTGACTGGCCAAAAATCAGCAGTTTAGCTTGAAACTGAAGACTGATTTCTTTTTTTTTTTTAAACTTTTTTATTTTTCTTTAAAAAAAACAAACACAAATATGTCATCATTTGTCAATCATTAAGACATTGAAGTACAAT